CGTAATCAAAGAGAGTAACGATACGATTACCAAAATCTGCCCAAAGACCAATTAACTGCAAAAGCTTACCAGAATAAAGTAGAAGCACAATTAGAAGCATCGCAGGAGGAAGCAAACGGGGAAAACAACACAAATGAAAAGTGGGATAGGATAAAAAATTACCATTAAAAGATCAGCAGAAAAAGTAGTGGGATTTCAGCATGTCAACAATAGAGTAGGGTGGTACGACAATGAATGCAGAGAGACTGTGGAACAAAGAAACAAAGCACGAATGATCATGTTACAAAGGGAAACAAGAAAGACAACACAAACATACAAGAAAGCCAGAAGAAAAGCAACAAAAATGTCTACGAAGAAAAAGAGGGAATGGGAAAAACTAAACTAAAGGAAATAGAAGATTTATCAAGAGAAGGAAATATAAGAGGAATGTACATGAAGATAAAAGATGAAAAGAATGGATAACAAGCCAGTACGCAAATGTGTGAGAGCAAAGATGAAGAAGAACAGAAGAACTTATTAAATAGGGAGGAAAAGAACTACACACTCACATACATAAACTTATTAATAAATTTTGGCCAGAACTGAAAATCCCGACATAATGGAAACAGCATTAATAAACCCATTACACAAGAAAGGCTCCAAGTTTTAGTGCGTTAACTACAGAGGAATTTCCTTATTAAATGTTAAATACAAAATACCGACGAAGCTTATTGCAAAAAGACTACAGCCTTACAAAGCAGAAATACTAGATGATTACCGATGTGGATTCAGGTCTAACAGATCAACGGCTGATCAGATTTTCACCATCAGATGCCTCTAAGAGAAATGCTATGAATATAATATACAAGCACATCAAAACTATGTGGACTGTAAAATGGCCTATGACAGCTTCAAAACAAAATATCTATATGAGACTCTGTGGCAGCTTGGAATACCCAAAAAACTGACAAGACTCATATTAATATATGTAACACTAAAAAACTCAAAAATAAAATAAAGATTCAAGGAGAGCATTAAGGGAATTTCAGATTAGACAAGATCTAAGACAAGGAGACTCACTTTCTTGTAAGCTTTTTAACCTAATATTACAGGGAGTTATGAGAAACATACACATTGACACTCGAGGAACGATAATAGGATACTTTCTAAAGGAAACTCAAGACCCACAACAAACGGGCACACTCCACAACCAACCACTTCAGTATCTTGCATATGCTGATGACATAGCACTGCTTGGGAAAAGTATTAAAGACATATCAAATCCTTTATTGAATTAGAAGACGCATCTCTACAAGCAGGGCTGGAAGTTAACACCCAAAAAACAAAATATATGACCATGATAAGAGAAGAACAAACAGATGAAGCAATTAAAATTAAAAAGCAGACTTTTGAAAAAGTAAATCAATTCAAATACCTAGGATCTTTATTAAATGAAAGAAACGAGTTACTAAGAGAAATAAAAAGAGGACTATCAGCCGGAAACAGGGCATACTTCAGTAGTCAGAAAATAGTAAAAAGTAAAAACATTACAAGAGAAACAAAGAAACTATTTACAAAACTGTAAACAGACCAGTTGTAACAAATGCAAGTGACACTTGGACCCTAACAAAACTGTCAGAAAGCCTATTAAACACATGTGATAGGAAAGTTCTCAGGAAAATATATGGACCAATGAAAAATTGAATATGGATGGAGAATACGAAAGACCATGAATTTTACAGTCTAAAACAACATCGATAGTACCAGAAATAAAATTAGGCAGGCTACGCTGGGCACGACACTTAAAGAGAGTGCCAAATGAAGAGAGTGCATCACCAATACCCCAGAGGAAAAAGGCTCAAAGACAGAGATATGCTTAGATTGATGGATGATGTAAAAAAAGATCTACAACCACTCAAAATCAAAGCATGGAAATGAAAAGCACGAGTTAGGTCTGAGTGGAAGAAAGTGGTAAGGCATGCAAAAGCCCTAAATGGGCTGTAGACCCACAGGGATGGATGAATGTTGACATGCCAACATTTAAACTCATAATTGTAACAAAAAGTCATAAGTTTATAAGATTAATCAATTTATTTTTAATAATCCAAGCTTTTGATTAAAAATGGAAGTAATTAATTTTAAATTGATTTTTTTTTAAATAGCTACCAGCAATTTGGATAAAGAAGGAGGTAGGTATACTTCTTACCGTATTAAATAAACATAGTAATTGCTCATATATAATATATATATATATATATATATATATATATATATATATATATATATATATATATATATATATATATATATATATATAATATATATATATTATATATATATATATCAATACTAATTAACATACTTAGTTGATGAGAAAAGGTAAATGATCACATAAATATAATTTTATTATTTTTTACTCGTGTTAAAAATAAAGCTGTAATACAATCTGTTTTCATTGATTAAAGCTCCATAAGGTGAAAAAAATCAGCATCACTGTCATTAGAGACTGTCCACGAATGTCTATACCAGTGCGAAAACTGATCACAATCTAGAGACCTGTCATCTCCACGCTTTATTTTACATAAAAAACCTTCATATGATTTTTTTAAAGATTTAGTGCTCACCTCTTAGGAATAGCTCAGCAGCATTTATTTGGTTTGTGGTTCAAATAACCGTTTACATTCCTAGACGTATGCATCTTGGAATGGTTGATACCAAATGGAATTGTTTGTTTAAACTGTGTGACTATTAATGGAAAAAAAACGAGCAATATATTAGCTTCTGTTACTATATCAATTGTATGTGAATCACTAGAATTAATAATCAATTATTCAAATCTTCACACAAACAATTATTTTGTAAGTTAAGAAACATATTAAGATATTTAAAAATAATTAAATACAATACAGAGATTTAGTATTAACGTATTTTTGTGATATTAATTAGACACTAAGGAAAATACACGTCACTTTAAAATTTGAATCAATTTTCAATGAAAACATTGTTAAGCAGCAACAAAATTATGAAAAGAAACATTAAATTGAAAACATTAAAACGTGCTTAATTTTCAATCTTTTAAAGATACTGATTATCAGAATTAAATTACTTTCTAAGTTTAGCAATATATGACACGTTCTGACTAATGGGATAGAAATGTGTGTTTTTTTTTCTATATTTAGAGTTATATTTATTGTTTGTAAAAAATTTTGGAAGGCTTTAATTTGATATCTAAAAAAAAAACTAAACTCCCTTCTTTAATTTTTCACTAAAACTTTGAAATGGTTAGCTGTGAAAAATGGGTGTTTGAAGAAAACGTGTTTGAAAAAAAATTAGCATTATTTCACACTGAATTCACAAGGAACCAAAATCATATTATAAATATGTATACATCCCTGCAAATGGCATTCAAATACATTTACTCTGGTATTAAAAATAATATTACATGTCAGCACAATACAAAACTGAACTAGTTTTAGTAAAGTGAAGCTATGTTTTTCTTTTTTTAACCACGTATTTTGAACGGCAAATGGTTTTCGTTTATGTTTCTTTAATTGTGTTAGCCAATTACAGATGGGCTGATGGCAGGGAAAAATGGGTTTAACCAAGTCTACATTTAAATACAGATTTTCATTTGTTATTATTTATAATTTTTATTTATTCTATAATATTCTCTTAATCTGTTTCTGATAGGAATATAAAATTAAAATGTTCCTCACTCCACTATATGAAGGCGTTACCTCCCTTTGATCGATGTATATTTAACATGATGGGTCATTGTGCAGGGTATTAAATTAAGATACGCTTTAAAAAAGATAGATTTCAGGGGGGAAATGGGTAGCCATTTTAAAATATGGTAATTAAAATAATAGTTTTTTTAAAAACTTTAAGCTAAATATGTAAAGGATATAATAGGATTTAAAAGTAAATAATATGTTTGAAAATTATAATATTTTTACCAAACGCATAAAATAACTTTTAGCTCAGAAATGCCCCATTGACTTATCTATCCTTTTTGTCAAAATGGCTCCATGGACTTATCTACCTTTTTTATTGAATTATCTATACTTTAGTTAGAACGAGTCACATATGTGCATAAACTTTAAGAGCATCCTGTAAACCTAAAAACCTTTATCTTCTATTGTTACCGTGTGCACCAAAAACAATGTTGGAAAACTCTATCATCTTGAATTCGTATTTGATTTTGTCAACGGTGCATCGTTTAATTAACCCCGTTAAGATGTTTATATATTGATTATATTGTGGGCAGTTGTGGCACATGGGTCACTTCATCGAGATAAAGATTTTTTTAGGTTTTTGTCTTATACGTTAGTGAAAGTAAATAGTGACCGTGTTTGAAAAAAGGGGAAGTGTTCTCGTTAAATAATTGTTCAGCTCCCTTCATTTTCAAACCATCTGACCCATGGCAATGACTTGATTAGTTACTTAAGAGTAAGATATGCGTTCAACTGTGAATACTTTTTACTTCGTCAAGAGACCCATTGCAACATATGTCCAAAACATAATACTTTCACTTTTATCGTCATGTATCATCTGGAGCTATTAACCTTTGAAAACGCACGGCGCTTTCAAGATGCTTGAATTTCTGTACTGTTAATTTTGGCGACTATACAGTAGTAAATGAAGAGACCTCATAATTTTACCAATGTAAGAAACAAAATTTAGAAGGAAAAAAAAAAATTATTATTCAATTATTACTTATTTTATTTTTTTTTCTAATTTTTTTTTTCTTACATTTGTAAAAATTCTCAAAAGAAACATTTCAAAAAGTTTTTAAAGTTTCAATATTTTCATCATCACGTTTTGTTATTTATTCCTTAAAATGTAATTAATTTTCTGTTTTATATAATCAGTAGATTCAACTTACGCAAGTATTTTTCTTAACCGATTGAAAGGATTTATTCTTACAACGTTTGACCAAACAAATAAAATTGTCCAAAATTACACTGATACTGAGACATCAGCTTTGGTGGTGTACAACGTTCTATCAAGTAATCCATGGACTCAAGTTTCAAAGGTTCAAATAACAGCAACAAAGCCATCACCTGTAATTATCCTAACTTTGTGTGAAGTGGAGATTTTTGGTGGTAAGTTTTAAGTAAAAAAATGACAAGTATCTTTATATCAGCCTTAAAATTAAATATGGCATATTATTTATAATATTAAAACACAGATTAGACCAATTGTTAGTGGAAGATATAGGCGTCAAAAATTTACGATAAAAAGCTCCGTGTGACTGTGTTTGTTAATTAGTTAGTTTGCTCGTTTGTAGATATGTTGATCAATCACATGAAAACCAAACAATGAAAAGCAACCAACATTTGCATGGCCATTTCTCCTACCTACAGATGGTTCCTGCACAGTTTGGCAATAGTTCCGTTACCGTTATATAATTTAACATATTTAATGTAGCAGGTTCTCAAATGCATTTTCCTTTTAACTGCCTAAGCCATAACAGAAGGATTTGTTTAAAATGGAAGCTACCACGTCATTTTTTGCATCTAGGCCAAATTAGTAAACATAAGTTTCATTATAAATTTTATTTTAAATCGCTTGATTTCAAACTAATAAAATTCAAATTTTTTGTGCAGGATTGCCTATTTTTACGTTTTAACCAATTTTACTGAGCCAATTTTTAGAATAAAATGTGTTCGTTTCCTAACCTAAAATAATCTTTGCCTTAAATTTTCAAGATTAAGTTCTTTTGAATTTTTAGAGGCCAAATAGTAAAATATTAGGAAAAAACAATATTTTGTTAGACATTTATTCAAACAGTTCCGGCAACTAACGTAAAACAAAAATGACATGTTTTGAATGAGTTTCATATTCCATTTCAATTTATAAACGGCAATAGGTTTGGCAATGGTGTATACCCATTTTAAAGAGGCATCAACTTTAAATAAACAGAAATACACTACAGTTCATTGTATTGTATATTGCTGGTTGCACATTTTTTAAGTATTATATATTTCTATGGAATTCATAAAGAATACTTTTGCGTACTAAGGGTTAACCGAAAGTATAATCATATAACGTGCGTATTTTCTGCGAGCCCACACCGCCTGTCATCCGCACCAAAGTATCCTAAATCAACACACTTCGCTTCCCTGGACTGTTCACACTTTATATATGAATGTGACATAGCAGCAGTTTTAAGCTAGTAAATATTTCTCTATAAAATCATCATTATGCTTCATAGCTTTTCACACTGTAAATTACGGTATGCGCCTGCCGACGTTGGCAACCCGGGTATGGTGGTTAACTACATGCGGACAAGTGCTTACAAGGACATTAGATTAGAGAAACGATTCAACTATTTAAATTGAAAATAGATTGCTAGTAATGATATTTAAGGGGCGCACTTAAAAGGTTATAAAAGTCAAATTTATGGAATTATTTATTAAAATGATGGATCATGATATCATTGTTAATTATACAAAAAGCTTCAGCATTGTCTTTTACATAAAATTTGATGACTAAAGTCCAGGATTCTTTTGACAGGTAATAAGTTAGGGATATTAAATCTGGGAAAACTTTATTTTAGTACATTTTCTCTCATATAACTGTTTTATGGAATAGTGATTTTAATTGCATTATTTTTAAATTTACGATATTAGATTTTTCATTGGTTCGTCGAGGATCGGAGTCTCCAGGCTGTACTTTTTTCTTCCGGATACATTTTGATTTATTCCGTTCTTGAGTTCCTTGACCCCGACGTAATCTGGTGATGTCTAAGATACGATTAAGTGTTTTAAAATGATTCTTCTATGATGACAAATTATGCAGTTAAAATATATTCACCAATAACACATTTACTATCAACTATTAGATATAACTTGGTATAGAAAAGATAGCAACAATCAGTTATGTAGTAACATTCAGGGATTGACACAATAAATACAAATCATTAATAATTTAACATTTGCTTGATTGAAACAGAAGATGTGCTTTGTTGAGATTTAGATACCTTTTGCCTCTGCGGGGATCAGTGGCATATCTAGGTTTGATGTCACCAGGTGCAATTAATTCTTGGTGTAAACCACCCCACCCCCCGAAGCTTCCATGATGGATTTCGTCTTGTTAAAATAAGCCAACATTACAACAATGACAAGAATAAAAAACACAAAAAATCGAATGTTATGAGGTCAATGTATTAATAAACTGTTACAATTTTAAGTTAATTTGTTTTAACATTAAATTTACGTCATTTAAAATTTCCCTTTCCTTGTCTTAAAAGCTACAAACCTATCCATGACTTGATCAATTTCAATGAACTTCACTGTATAAATTTTAATTGATAGCAGAGCCCCATTAGAAAGCCTAGGTGGATAAAAAATATTTCTTGATTAGCCTTAGTTTTGAAAAGCTCCGCTCACATGAAGGTCATACACAGATGTCGTAAGAAAAAAATAAAGGCTTAGCTAAGTATTAGAAGAGATTCTAACCAGTTACAAATTTGGATTTTGTTTCTGTAATATTAGCAACACATAATCTCCAGTAAAAACAATACAATTTCTGACTGACGAGTGAATAAACTATCCACAACCGCAGTATTTTCTCGGCATTTTGCATAAACCCGTAGATCTATTATTTTGATAGTTTGCACAACCTCCATTAGAATTTGCATTTTGCCTTGTCACTACGCTGAATAGTCCGTCCTTGTTCTGAAACAAGGTGCTCCATCATATATATATATATATGTTACCGGAAATTTGTAAAATGCAGGCATTGCATAGAATGCCTAGGCATTAAATAGAATGAATTGCAGTTTTAGGCAAAGTATAAACTATTTTATTTTCGTGATTAAGTTACATACATTGCCTAGGCATTTTATACATTGCCTAGATAATATATATCATGACAAATATTTTTCAAGCAAAGTTTTAAAAGAGCGTAATGAAAACGTTTTTGTTGGAAAAAACATATTTGAAAACGAAAGATAACAATGAAACCGGAGACCCAAGGTGGCATCGAGCCAATTGTTGCAGCAAGTAAGGCTGGAGTGCCATTTTGAATGGCACTTAATTTCCTTTTTTTTTCAAACAAAGAAACTTCATGTTTTTGCACCTTATCTTGCGCATACACCTCTCGTATCTTTGAGCGCTTCCTGTTGACAGAGAAATAGGAGCAGATTGGAGGGGTATTTCATGGGCAGGGACGTCTTCAACTCTCAATAAATCTTTTGGACTCACAGTGAAATGTGATCTCGAATACAATAATTTTTCAATATTCCTTGTGGAGTTCCAAGTCGGTAAAAGCCGTCTTCTGTCTCCGTCATAACAACTGCCAACAGATTGCGCGATCCAACCCGTCCCTTGTCAACGTCAGGAATAGGAACTCACACAGTCACTCCTAAAGGTGCAGGAGGGATTTTTTTGCCAGAGTTTATTTTCATTTTTTGGTCTGTAATTTAAGGTTTGATTTAATTTTTTTTCTAGCCTCTACAGCTATCTTCATCTTGAAACACAAGCTGCACAAAATACCAATACCATAACCTTCTATTTCCTCGTCTCCATTGTCTTAAGCAGCGTCCCCACAGATAACATTAACATTACTGTAACCGTTTCGGCATGTTTGGACACCCATGCTTTCTTTTAAGCAGACACAAAAAACACCAGATTTTGAAGGCTCGTCGGTAACCATGACGTCACAATCAGTTTGGTCTCCCTCCCATTATTGGTTATATTCTCTTCAGTATTCTGTGTAGTAGTCTCAGTATTTTGCAACTGATGATTTGCTTCTTCCTGCTATTTTAATTGTATTCTCTATATTATTTTTTCGAGTTCTTCTTCAATCTGTATGTTTTGCAATACCTCAAGGGGTAAGGAAGACTTGCGAGGCCCACTTTAGCTTTGCATCCAAACAGAGCTTAACAAGGCGATCTCTTAATCCAAGAATGAAAGGCCCTGCTCTTCATAAGTTAGATCCTTCATCCCAGTGGTCCGTTTTTTCATCTTGCATCAAGGCACATAGCATGTTTTCGATATCTTGATTAGCTTTTTCAACACTGCCCTGGCTGTGTGAGTCGCGCGGTTTATCATGCACGATTTAAACTTTGGCAAGTACTTCTTTGGGCTGTTCACCACATTGTTGGTAACTTCACGGCCATTATCGGACTGTAGAATTGATTAAGCTCCAAGCAAAGTAAATATTTCCACAAGTTTGTAGGCTGCCTCTTCCGCCCTCTTTGATGTAAGAGCCTTTTGAACCACAAACTTTGTGAGATGATCTTGCTACACCATTATAAATTTATATTCCCTGTCAGGATTGGACTGAAAATCGATAAGTTCGACCTGACCATGGAAGTTGAATTCAGAAAAAATCATAGGCTTCACCACAACACCCTTTTTGACACGTTTGTATCTTCTGGAACGGCTCACAAAGATGGAGGCAAAGATCATTATCATTTTGTGTAATGTTTTTAAACTTGAATGAAAGTTCTTTCAACATGCTGGCACTTCCTCCATGTCCCATGGCCCAATAAGCTTCGTGAAGTACGTCAAATATTTCAGAATCAGTGACATAGAATTGAATAGCACTGTCGCCTTCTTTAACATGACCGATTAACTTACTTTTGTTCTCTACCGCCATTATATCATAGCATTTCAGCAGCCAATAGTCTCGTGGTTTTTTTCTGAGGTGTCATCCAAGCCATTTTCACATCATCCACCAATTTTTGGTAACTAATTTCCTTTAGAGAAGCAGTATTGGCTCGTAATTGAGAAAGATCATCGTAGAATCGCCGTTGCATGATTCCTGATCTGAAGCTACAATCTTATCTTCCAAAATCTCAGCAGCCATCTTGAAACAATAGGGGTAGCGTCTTTGGCGGGAGTAGGGAGCACTTGTCTCACGATCACCACGCCAACACCAAGCAAAGAATCAAACATAAATGTCGGGAAGTTTTATACATTGCCGGGTCGCTCTTCGGTAATCTATAGAATGCCTAGGAAATGTGTGAAATTTAAAACATTTCATACTTTGCCTACAATTTTCAGGCATTATATATAATTCCTAGGCATTCTGTATTTATTCCACTTAGTTTTTACATGGATTGATGGATCTTGAACAAAATTGGCACATATATCCATCATTATTCGGTAGGAACTCAAAAGGGGATATGAACTTTTTTATTACATTCTGTTTTGGACCTTGGGGCCCAAAATGTAGTTTTTTTCCTATATGAGCTATATAAAATTAATTAGAAACAAATACTCCTAAGGGAATGGATGGAACTTGACCAAACTTAGAACACATACGCTTTATTATCCGTAATCAAATACCGAATGGTACTTAACACATAATATCCATTCGTAGGGGTCCGGGGGCCCCATTTAATTTGTTCTTATTTTTGCTATATAAATATCAATAGGCTTAATACTTCTACATGAATGGATGGATCTTGTAGAAACTTATTACACTTGCACTTAATTATTCATTTTCAATTAAGGATGGGTACTGAACTCGTAACATCCATTTCTCGGGGGCCGGGGCCCCAGTTCATTTTTCCTTATAAAAGCTATATGAATATCATTAGAGCTAGCCAACTACTTTGGTCCTATGTGAATCGATAGACCTAGGCCTAGCTTTGTGCATTACCCTTCTTAGTCCGTATTGAAATATCGGTGGATGTAAAACTAAATATATCAAACCTAGATTTTTCCAGAAAATTCGATAGTTTTACAAATCTGTATCTAAGGCATTTGTAAATGCATTTGAATGGGACAAATTTAAATTTAACTTCATAACTTATCTAAATGCTTTTTATAGGGCCCCATCTCAGGCAAATTCGGTACAATTATGGAATCGCCCCCTCCCCCCCCCCCGGGCCACTCTTTCAACTTGAATGTACGAGATGTATAGTTTTACATTTGGTTGTATACTTTTTCGTATTTGAAAAGTAATTACTTAGAAAAGACATTTTTACACGTTTCAAGGAGGCTATTTCATTTAAACTGGAATGTAACAGAAATTTCTATAGCGATAATTTAAAAAAAGCTTGATCTATGGCATTTTTTTAAAACCGATTTTAAAGCGACAAATTTTAAATTTAAACTCTATAATTTATCTGAATGATTTTTAAGCCTCCTCTTCCCCCCTCCATCTCAGACATAACTAAAATGTACTTTATTAATCCGGGGCCCCTTTTTTAAAGTTAAATGTACTATAGTTATAGTAGTGCAAATTAGTTGTATAATATTTCTTTTTTGAAAAATAATTACTTAGAAAAATAGTTTTCTATAGGTTTCATGGAGAATTTTAAAATTAAGTCTAGAATCTTTCAGAGGGCTCTATATTCTTCAAAGGGGTTATATAACGTGATCTAAAAGCTAATTCGAACAGAATCGCACTGAGCATGATCGCATAGAGGAATTAGATCGTAATGGGGAGCGAGATCCATTAGTATACTGGAACCCATCGGTAACGCGATTTCATCGGTTATCTGGATCAAACCAGGATCGGGATCCTATCGGAAAACGGGATAAAATTGGAAAAGGGGTTCCCTAGGGAGATGGGATCCCATAGAGAACGATACCCGAATGGTATCGGTAGCCCATCGGGATCCCACTGGGTTAAGACACCGAAGGGATCGGAATCACACCGAACTTTTTATAACATTTCGTTTGGGGACCGGGTGGCCCCGAATTCGTTTTTTTCCTTATATGAGATTTATAAATAAAATTAACAACAAATACTTCTACATGATTCGATGGATCTTGACCAAACTTAGTACACATATACTGTATTATCCATATTCAAATAAAAAAAAAGGGTACAGAACTCATAATATCCATTTTTCTGGGCCGAAGGCACCAGTTCATGTTTTCCTTATATAACCTATATAAATATCAGCAGGGCTGGACAACAATATAGGTTGTATGTGAATTTATGGATCTAAGCCTAGCTTTGTTCATTACTCTTCTTAGTCCGTAGTGAAATATCGGTGGATTTAAACATAATAGTATCCAATCTAGAATTTTCCAGAAAGTTTGTTAATGTTAAGAAGCTATATCTATGTCATTTTTAAATTGATTTTAATGGGAAAAAAAAATAAATTTTAATTCTTTAATTATTTGAATGATTTTTTTACCGTCCCCGCTCTTCAGACATATTAAAAATGTACATTATCAAATGGGCCCACACCGTGGCCCCTATTTTAATTGAACTGTACTATAGTTATAGTTGTGAAAATGTAGAATCTTCCAGAAAGTTGTATATTGTTCTAAGGGGTTATAAAACTTGATCTAAAAGTTAATTCCAACAGAATCGAACTAAGCATGATCCCATAGAGAAATAAGATGCTAATGGGGAGCGAGATCCATTAGTATACTGGAACCCATCGGTAACGCGATTCCATCTGGTAACAGGACAAAGCCGGGATTGGGATCCTATCTGGAATCGAGATAAAATGGAAAAGAGGGTCCATAGATGAAACGGGATCCCATAGAGAATGGTATCCTAATGAAATCGACAGCCCATCGGGATCCAACAAGATCGGGATCCCATCGGAATCGAGATACCGACCGGATCGGGATCCCACTGGGATATGGATCCCCCTGGATCCGGAGCCACAAGAAAATGGGATCCCACCGGGATCACACCGGGAAACGGGATTACGTCAGGATCGGAGTAAAAAAGGAATCGGGGTCCCATTGGGATAGGGGTCCCACCAGGATCGGGGTTCTAATGCAACCCCGGGCTACGATGGGTATATATGCTAGTATTTTAATAATTGAAGACCGAAAATAATCTGGTACTGGTACATTCCAGAGATGAACATCTGATAAAATGAGCCAGTTTTTGTCATTAACCATTACGCTTTTCTCTGCTGACAGCCACTTGGTCGTGTAGATTAGTGCACGCTGTGTGGCATGATATAATAATCTTGAACAGTAAAAATGCTTAAATTTTGTCATGTTCAAGACAACAAACAAACAAATTACTGACGACAGTTCAAAAACAACAGTCAGAGCCCTGCCTAAATACAACAGAGAAAGCTAGGAGGTAAAACCCAGCAGTCGAAATATGACAATCGTGCACAAATGGTAAAGGGCGATACTAGTGACGAATGTGGGAAAATATTATTTTTTGAGTAATTCTGGGTTTCGATATATAATATTGCATATGTATTTAATAAACTCTTCTTTTTTTAAATTTTAAATAAATAATAGAGAATTAATCATGAAAAAATTGAAAATTGTGATAAATGATATATATTTTTTAAACCTATAAAAGGCTAAAAATGTATTTTTGATGTTTTTACTGATTCTTAAACTTAGAATCACCCAACTACACAATATTTGTTATCAATGGAAAACCCAAATTTCTCAGAATTTAGATAAATATAGCCTCCTGTCACTTACGGAAGTTACCGAACACTTCAATCGTCATGGAACAATGACTATTTTTTCTGAACTAAACATATGTTCATCTCATTTCTGACGCATCAATCATAAACTTTTAATAAAGCACACATTTGTAATGGTTACAGATGTGAAAAATGTACGTGTGATCGATTATCCTTTTATGAATTTCGGTGAGAGTATCACCCATAAAATGGATTTCACCCGGTGCAGTCCGTGCCCCCTCCCACAACCCCCTCGCTACGCCACTGGTGGGGATTCAGCATGTCTTATATTTTAAAAAGTTATATTTTTAGATTTTAGTCTTTTCATCTGTCGCTCTGCAACAACGAGGAACAAGGATGATAAAAATTATTGAAGCGAATCGGTGCTGTCTCACAATGATAACAGGGGAAAATTGCACTTGGGTCAAGAAATTATGCTTTTAATCGTGGTGCACTGGGGCACGTTATGGTCCTAACAGTAATGTGAAAGCTTCACATTTGTAAAATATATTTTATTCCCAGACTCGGTGTGTCAAAGAGATAAGTTCACGTACGGCCGTGATTGTGAACACATCTGTAACTGTGCTGTAGAAGGTGAAAAGTGTTTTGTTAGTACAGGAAACTGTCCATCTGGATGTAAGGCTGGATTTTACGGAGAAGGATGTAACAAAAGTAAGTGTACAGAGGCTTTCACAAAATGATTTGTCAATTACTTCATGATCATGTTTGCTTTAAACGTTCTTAAACACTTTTATCAAAAATATCCACATCTCCTTTTTTAGGGCATCTCGGAAGTTTTCTTTCTTTACATTGTAATTTCAAGATATCAGCTTTGTGAAATAAAAGAATATTATTCTTATATAATTAAAAATGCGATTTTTTTTTTTTTTTTAAATAACTCCCTCATTTCTCCACAACCTTCTACTTAATTTTTTTTTTTTTAAATTATTTCGAAATTTAAGGGTTATAAGCTACAAAAGTAGCTAGTTTAAATTCTCTAATATGACCCACGATTGCTGAAATAATTCATCCCTTTTTTTTTTCATAGAAAATACTTGTTATAAATTTAATGGCTTTCAATTTTTAATGAATTTTTTAATGCAGCTCTCGTGACAGGTTTGAAAGATCGTTGTGGACAGTAAAAGTTCCGTTAATTTTTGTCATTTTGAGTGTGTTTATAAATATATGTTATATAACATGTATAATAAAATCGTTTTCGACTTCGTAGCGTGTGATCCTGGTTTCTTTGGAATCGACTGCAGAAATAAATGCAGTAATTGCTTAGGTCAATGTGAAGGCAAAGACGGCAAATGTACCAGTTGTGCTACTATAGGAAAGAAGCTTCCGTATTGCTCAGAAGGTATGCAAACTTATATTGACACGGTAAACAACAGAGTACATTTTTATACACTCAAACATTTTTAAAAAATCATGTAGTCATATTGATGGATTTTAAACAGAAAGCAATCTAGAAATAATAAGACTGATAGGCGTCGATAAAACAATAATGAAATGAATAAGTCTTGCCATTCCCATAAATACAACTTCAAGCTTTAATGTTCAACATGGACTAATGAATGAAATTAACTGAAAAAGGCAAAAGGGTTAAATGAAGATGAAGCTTTAATGGACCCCGCACATAGAGTAAATACAGTTGACACATTATAAAATGAAATCTCAGCCGAAGATCCAAAAGTTCCTTATAAGCAGCAAATAAGTTGAAAGGTCAGACTTTATTTTCGTGTAGATTTTATTTTTAAAAATCTCGTTTTTTTCCACATGGCAGACAAACCGAAATACTTACTTCCTGCATGGATATATTAAATGTAGGAAAAAATATTCATGTCCTTATGGTATACCAAAACATGCGTGCCAGTGAGGATAAAGTCTCATGAGAACACTTTTTTTTCTGTAAGTAAAGGTAAAAGTCTTTCGAACTGATCAGCAAGCCAATTAATTATTGTAAAGATAGACCACATAGTTTAAACAAGAAGTTTTAGCCAGATAATGAAACTTCATACCCAGTCGTGGCCTTATCAATGTGTGCCAAAAAAAAAAAAAAAAGATCGCCACCAGGTCGTAGAAAAATTAATA